AACGATTAACGTACCCTATTCTAGTTGAAATTCTATTACTACCCTATGTTTGTTTTGATTCGCTATGAAAGTTTGACAGATAACATCAGGGGTGTGTGGATTCATGCAGAACATGCAGGGGTGAGTGAAATAGCTTGGGACTGCTTGGGACCGTTGTTCTGGTACTGAGTGAGCCAAAAATAATAATGATTTTCTTCGGGACCCAGTGGTCTTAGAGTTACCTCTATGGTAATACTAAACATATACTCAAAGTATTTTTTAATCTGTTAGATAGAAATATAGTTTCAAAAATTACTAGTTATTGCATTTTCGTAGCTTCACGAAATATTTACCCTCCCCATGGACATGGAGGTTGACGGTACTGAAGCAAAGGGTTATGTTTAATTTCTTTATATTTGCAACGATGATTTCCTATAGTGACACATATCACCTTCTTAATGCTCCAGTATGCCTCAAACGATTAATTCTTGGTTGTTAATAGAACTTCCTTGATGAAATCGGCTGTTTCATGCAGTCTGAGCAATTCTGATTATAGTATCAGATTTGTTCTGTGTAAAATTTGCCTAAAATAATCAATATTTATTTTACTTGGAACTACTGGAAAAACTGATAACTTTTACATGATATTCTGTTTTGTTTAAAATGCTTTTCACGTAATTTGTTGAGAATACTGGAACATTTATATTAGGGTGGTTAAAAATATCGATTTTGCCCCACCAAGCTCAATCGATTCGAAACCTGATCCTGCTCCAGAAATTTGAGTTTATTTGGATGCGAACTCATACTGCACTCAATTAGAAGTTTATATGGATATTACTATGAGGATAGTGTAATTTTTGTTCTCAATGTCTTATACTGCCTATAATCATAGAGGTAACTCTAAGACCACTGGGTCCCGAAGAAAATCATTATTATTTTTGGCTCACTCAGTACCAGAGCAACGGTCCCAAGCAGTCCCAAGCTATTTCACTCACCCCTGTATGTTCTGCATGAATCCACACACCCCTGATGTTATCTGTCAAACTTTCATAGCGAATCAAAACAAACATAATGTAGTAATAGAATTTCAACTAGAATAGGGTACGTTAATCGTTTGCTTGGGACCAATAGGCTACTAAAGTGGTGAGCCAATTTAAAATCGTTAGTTTCGTATTGATTGTTGCTATAATCCCGTTTCAGTCCTATATGGAAAAAGTAGGCATTGAGAAAATGACAGTTGAAGTTACGAAGTGCAATTCCCATGTGTAAAAGGTTTGAAAAATCATAGTAAATTAATTGATTTTTTTTCAAGTTGAAGATCAGCGAAAAACTATGGTGGTCCAAAAAGCATAACTGTATCTTGACCTCTTGACGATTGAATTTCAGGATGGGACTTATATGCGACTACTTTGCTTAATGCGACAAACTGAATTGATGTTGTTTTAACATTGTTATGATTAAAGCCCGAAGTTTCATCACGTAATATGAAAGTACACAGAAAAAAAGTTGTTGAATATTGTCGTGTCCTGGCATGGCCATTTTTCGGATTTTCCTTTATATGTAAATTATGTTGCCGTGTTTCCTCTTCAAAGCTTTTCATATGACTGCTCTCTTTATTTTCAGCCCCTATTTAGTGCCTTTTTTTTGCTCTTCCTACACCTTTACCAACAATCAATACGAAACTAACGATTTTAAATTGGCTCACCACTTTAGTAGCCTATTGGTCCCAAGCAAACGATTAACGTACCCTATTCTAGTTGAAATTCTATTACTACACTATGTTTGTTTTGATTCGCTATGAAAGTTTGACAGATAACATCAGGGGTGTGTGGATTCATGCAGAACATGCAGGGGTGAGTGAAATAGCTTGGGACTGCTTGGGACCGTTGTTCTGGTACTGAGTGAGCCAAAAATAATAATGATTTTCTTCGGGACCCAGTGGTCTTAGAGTTACCTCTATGCCTTTACTATCTCTATCTCTCTTTCTCACTCTAGATATATCGCTGCCTGCACTGCTCTCATTCCCTACAAATATTACATCCAAACTGCTGCAACCAGGTCAATCCATCGGTTGTGTAATATAACGTTGTAAGATGTACATCGATTTTGCGAACAAAATTACATCCATTGATGTAATATTGTATCTGCTTTTTGCTATTACATCATTATTTTATACATCAGCTTGAATTACATTGATCGATATTACATTTTTTTTTGCTGTGTATATGCCAATTGATAGTGGACAGCGTTGTTATCTTAAAATTTACGAAAATACATATGGGACTAATATGCGATTATAGGCAGTATAGCCAACAATCAATACGAAACTAACGATTTTAAATTGGCTCACCACTTTAGTAGCCTATTGGTCCCAAGTAAATAGATTAACGTACGTTCTAGACGAAATTCTTGTACTACACTATGTTTGTTTTGATTCGCTATGAAAGTTTGACAGATAAAAATGAGGGGCTCGTGGATTTTCCTACGTTTCGAGGGGTGCATCGATTAGCTTGGGACCGAATATAGTACCAGAGCTGAGCCAAAAAGTTGAGCGCGTTTCTTTGGGACTTTATAGTCTTAGAGTTACCTCTATGGTATAAACCCTTCGCCATAATGTTTTACAATATTAAAATGTCATGAAAAACTTGCCATTGATTTTGCCATTTAACAACTAGTTTGATACATATAAAAAATGCATATCATTCAGCGAATGTCGTAAATTTTAATATGTTTCATTAATAACAAAATAAATAAAAATGTATGGTTTTCCCGGCCTTTTGTGACTGATTTATACAATTTCGGCCTTTTGTGTTTCGACCTTATTCGATTTTCGGCCTTTTTGTGGTAGGTTCATACATTTTCGGCCTTTTGTGATTCGGCCTTCTGTTCCTATCCAACTTTATTAGTCATTTGGACTAAAGGCCTACGGTAAAAGCACAGACAAACATACATAACACTCGCAAGTTGTTCATCGAACAAGCATTTAACGGTCAATTTAAAAGTATCGTAGTTGGTGTTCAGCGCAGTGCCCACAACAGTGTACTCAAAAGATGGCAGTAATGTTTTACTGACGATGTTTTGCAGTGAGAAATATTCAATGCGTTTTGTCTGTCTGAGGGCTTTAATTTGGACGCCGTGATAAGTATTGAAGTGAAGGATACGCTTTGCTTGCATTTCCCCAATTGGGTTCTTTAATTTTGAAAAATATATAAATCATCTGAAAGAGCTTCGTTTTCTGAGCACAGCGATATTTTTTTCGAACCCAGACATTTGCACATTTGCTCGCTCCCATACAAAGTGACACCGAGGGGCGCTAATAAGGTGATTTTTGCAAATGTAATCGTACTTATTTAAAATAGTTACAGTGTACCAAAATTGATGAAATTTTAGGTTTGGGTTCCATTTTTAATGAAGATTACGAATATGCATTTACCTCAATACCCTTAAAGAATCCAATTGGCACTTCCAGAAAATATAGACAGTTACTTATGGGAATTTTCAATGGAGTAAAAGGATGATACAAAGTCCGCCATGTTTCACGCACAGTCTGACGTTTGCTTTTGGATTTTCTCATAGGATTCAAGAGCTACAGAGTCGTCGTCAACACCAATGAGAGCGTGAGGCCAATTTGCCAATTTTATCAAAGCACGTGATGGGAATTCTGTTGAGATGAAAGCAACGACATACCCTAATTATTTCAATGTAGGTCTTCAGATGTCACATTGTGTTGTATTAAGCAAAAATGATGTTCAATGTGCTACACGGCGGTAGAAACTCCGAATCAAATTCAAATAGAAAAATCATTCTGCAATCCTGGCATCATTGGTCAACTCCGTCAAACACCATGCACTAATTTTCGACGGGCATTCATCAAAAACATTAAGAAGAGTGAGAAGCTGAATTGTCAAGTCGCGTCCCGGGTCTACAGCAGCAGTCGATTTTTTATTTCGGTGTGAACCACGCGATAGCTTGTTTTCGAGACTCGCTATTATATAGTTGCTCTTTGTTCGTTGCTAGCAGTTCGGTGCCTTTTGTTGCTACGGTGCAAGATGTGTGAAATAAAAAAAAAACACCATCAAGTTTAGCTTCAGCCATGGTGATGCTAAACCAAACATCGGAGAGATTGTAGATTTCGCCAAAGCACTCGACGCGGATCCGGCTGAAATGGAAGCTGTTTATCGCATGAAGTTCAAATCAGAGGAAGCGATGCTCCATGCTCTGACATACAATTCGGAGGATTTAATCTTCCAATATGCGAAAGGAACGACGGCAAAGGTACGCATGTCGCATGCTGGTGAATTCATCCAATATGTGCGTGTGCATGACTTGCCACCAGAGGTACCCGACAACGAGCTGGATAAAATTCTGGGGAAATATGAAGAAAAAAACGCATCATCCGGGAGAAATTTCTAACTGATCTGTGCTTTGAGGTATATATATGGATGTGAAGAAGGAAATCCCCACGTCATTACATTTCTTCAATCGCAAAGAAAATATATTTTATGATGGCAACAAAGATAAATGTTTTCTGTGCAAGGCGGACGGACACCGGAAGCTTTTCTGCCCCAACCGGAAGGCTTGGTGGAAGGTGTGTCGTTAGTCATTAGCGACCAGGAAACGGACACGGGGTTGATGTTGAATGAAACACAGATGTTGAATGAAAATAACGAAACGGACGTGACGACCCCGACGACCGACGAAAGTAGCGGAGAGCATGCAACGGGAAACGACGTTCAGAAGCAGCAGCAGCGATCACGATTCGGGTTCAATGAAAATAAGGAACAAATTCGGGAAAAAAGAATTTGCGCGCACGGGAGAAGATCGCTTTGTATTTTGAGTACCAAAATTGGTATTCCATGTTACTCGGCTCCGCTAAGTTATTTTTATAACATTTGAGCCTGCCAAATAAACGAAATGAAAAAAAGTAGGTCTTCGCACAAAAGTACTTTAAATGTTGTAATTTTCGAAGCAATTTGGATTTCTTTCGATTCTATGTACCAGCTAACGGAAAACATTTCGAATTCTGATTTACAACAGAAATTTAATTTAGAATCTTTTCTCTATTTTTCCTCTCATCATTTAAACAGTTACCGGGAGTTACTTAGTATAAAACAAAAAAATTAAATTAGTAAAATATTATTTAAAAAAAAAGAGTCTATCAAATGTTCGTAAACAGCGGAGTTCTGTAGTTACAGAAAATGCTCACTTTGTTGCTTTCGCATTCATTTTATTTATTTGATCTCTACCATTTTTATTCTCTCTCTACAACTCCTTTTATTTCTCCGTTACTTGCTACACAATAAACCATTTATCTCCGTTCTGTACATCAACTTGACATATTTCCGTTCCTGGCAAAGATCGAATTTCACTCTTTCATACATCACGATCAAGAAAAACAAGGATGGTCCGTCATCTCACAAAAAACAAAAATAATAATAATAATTCCTAACCAATCTTTGTTCTTCGTCCACATGTTACATTTATTCGACTTTCCTCCTCCTCCAGCCGCAGATAGCGTTTTAAACTCGCTACCCGCGTGCACTATTAGTTGTTTTCACGTGTTAGGTCTTTTTTTTTCGAGTGGGATCAACGGTGCTGTTCTTTGTTTGTTTCGCGCGAATAGTTTTTTTTTCTTTTCTTTTCAGGCTGCTGCAGCTGCAAAAGATGGCGGACAGCGTTGCAGCATTGAAAGAGGATGCAGTTCACTATTTTGTAATTGTTGTTGCTATACGCGATTACCTTGTTATCTGTACGTTTTGATCTTTTCCCAACTTGGCTCAAGATTGGCGTTGTCTTACTTTACCTTGGCATAGAAATCAACCTGCTCGTGGAACCAGCTATAGTACTGAGCAGCAGCCTGTTGGGTACTGTTGAAGGCTTTTCCCAAGTTTTCCGGTGATAGTTGACCACTGCAGAGAAGAGGAAGAGCAGAATGGAAATTGTTATTGGACTGAATGTTTAGTGTTGACTTTCCTTGCCACTAGTATTCTTTCTCTGATTGAATGTTCAAAATATTCTAATAATGTTCGAAAAAGTGCTGAGGGACGAATCCTTTCAAATTCTTTAATATTGCATTTATACAAATTAGCATAAGGCGCACAGTGGGATGAAATAAAAAAAGTGGGACATGACATTTAGTATGTTGATGCCTTTTAGAATGTTTCTTCATTTTTTGAGTGCTTTATTTGAGTAGTGAACAATTTTGCTTAAGGTGGGGTGTACTCAGATGAAAAAAAAAACTTTTTTAAACCTCATTAAAATTTATGAACATCTGTAAAAACTTTGTACATGAAGTCATTTTAAGAAACTTTGTCAAAAACGAAAATTTTCTATCCCTTAAGTGGACGAAGTTATCGGGTGAAAATGGAGTTCAAACGGTAGTATCGCTTGAAAACCGTTTTGCTGCCATTACTTTTTTTGTATAAATTTAACTATTTTTTCAATGATCTACAAAATAATATGTTTTCTTTGAAACTGTATAGTACAGGAGATACCAAATCGCTATCTCTTTGTTTTAACGATTTACGTCCATTTTTATAATTTTGAACATTATCTTTAAAGGGGCGTATTTAGCAGGTTAGCAGGTATTAGCAGCTAATAGCAACGTCATTTTATTCAGCAACTTATACCCTACTGTTACATATACAATTTATAGGGGGATCCAAATTTTCAAATAAAGTACCTCAATGTTTTGTTACTTTTATCTGTTTCCATGTCCATTTTTTCCTAGTATGTACATTAGGGTGGGTTATCATTGCATGGTGGATCACAACCCCCTGTTCCCCACTGCTCTTCCGATGTGTATTGAAGTCATCAACATCGGTGACAAATTTGAATAAATTTGGTAATGATCTGGATTGCGGGTTAATTTTAAATTTTGTATGGGAGAATCGATGGAAAACAAAACGAACCTATTCATTTGCTTGCTAAAAATTTAAATATTTCTCAACTTGCACCAAATCTAGGAAATAGATTGCGAATACTATTCAGAACAACTTGGACGTAGCTCTCTTCCATTTTTTTTTATAAATTCGTTTGAATTCTCTTTAGAATTCCCATGCAATCCATCTCAGAATTGTTAAAATTGTACTCAAAATGATCAAGGAGTTCTTCTCTAAATGTGTCCGAAAATTCACTTGGAATGCTTCTTAAAATAATCTAGAAATTCTTTTCAAGACGCCTTTGAAATTATTCTCGGATTTCCTTGGAATCCTCTTCTCAATCGTCATGGATTTTTCCTCGGAGCTACTAAAAAAATACTATGAACTCACACAATTGACTTGGAGTTCTACCCAACAAGTATTGGATGCAGAATAACAGCTTGTTCAGGCAAAAATATGCTTATTCAGCTTTGAATAAGCACCAATTCGACAGTGAGCATGCATAAGGGTGTACACGCAATGATCGATTCTCTTCGTCGATTTTCTCTTTTGTTAATAACTCGCTTGGATTAACATTTCTAGGTGTGTTTGTTGTTGCTTTTGATGGCCAATACAACCTGTTACAGCACTGTATTGGACAAATTTAAGAAAACTGCTTCCATTAGCTGTAGCAATTTAAAGAGAAAATCGGCGAAGTAAATCGAAAATCGCGTTTACGCTCTTATGCATGCTCACTGTCAAATTGTTTGTTGGGTAGTCAAAACTCTGTTATGGCGGTAAGCTCCAACTCGGATTATCAAATAATACCGACTCTGCTTGGATGATCTGCAACATTAAAAACATAAAATAACAATCGTGATAGCACCGACAGGCACGAAACCTGGTTGCTAACTAAAATAGCAACGGCAACGGTTGTCAAACTAACAGCCTGAATAGCAACGCACCGGTGCGGGTGGTCTTAGAGTCGTATTAATTAATAGCGAATTCGTTTATTATTCAGTTCTAACCTGGCTCTGGTATCAAGATTGGGTTTGCTTGTTTTCTGACAAACGTCAATTTGCTGGTTTGTTTTATAAACCTAGCTCAGGTTGAGGTTCACACTGACAAAAAGTTCGGTTTCGCACTTTAACGATAATAAACGAATTCTCTATAACTCTTAAGACGACATCAAAGCAGTCGAACATTCTTAATCGGGATTTAATCCGAGGATAATACCGGTTGGGGTTTACCACCATTAGAGTTCATCCCAAAACTCCCTGGGCATTTTCTCTTAAATATCATGATGTTATCTCTATAGAATTGATTTTAAAATTTGCACAAAATTGCTCTGGAAAAAAATCTAAAATTCTCTTAAATGTTCATCCAAATGACTGTATCTTGAAAATGTAGTCCAGTCCAACGGTCTTGAAATTTTGTCAAGTCCTGAAATCCTAAAATTTGTCCCGATTTGTCAACGGAATTCGCAAATTATTCCCAGATTTTCCAGTTTTCTAGATTTCCCGATTCACTGAAGATAAAAAAAATAAAAAATATTAAAGTCTTAAAGTTTCAAATTCAAGTCTTAAAAATTTTCAAAGCGCCAAAGTTTATAAACAAAAAATTCTCAGACATTTAATTTGTTTCAATTTCACAAGATAGCGTTTCAAATATGTCCATGTCCAGAGCAGTCAGGGTTTTTTTATTTCTTTGGTTTGTTTTCCGTCGATTTAGTTTTCCGTACTGAGTACCAACGCTACCGACGCCAGGGAAACAGCTCCCATACCTGGATCCTACCTATCGACCCATCTCATGAATCGGGGACCAACGATTTTATGCCTCAGTAAATCCCGCCGGCACCGCAATCATGCTTACCACTACACCACCGGTGTCGCTTAAAGAGTAGTCAGGTTCAATGAGTAATTTTCATATGAATATGAACAGCCAGCTGCCTTATCATTCACTGCCTCGTGAGAGTCTGAATGATTGGGAAGTAAACGAGTCACTGACAGCCGAGCGCTCAGTCAACACGTTCTCCCGTGATGGTACTCAATCCTTGTCTTGAATGACTGAGCGTACATTTTCTAGTCAAGTAGTGAGCCAATTTAAAATCGTTAGTTTCCACGGCTTGAAAATCCTCAGAGTTCATTTTAGACCTATCTCTGCTATTTCCTTATAATTTGCTCCATAATACTTTTGAAAATCTTCTGCATAACACTCTTTGCAATTATCTTCAAAATATAAAAAATTCTAGCAGAAACATGGGAATTTCCCGAATTTTTTTTTTCTGAAAATTCACGTAGTATTCTTCCGAAATTCTCATGGAACTATGCTAAGAATTCTCGTGGAATGTGTCCCATAAGTTCTTTCAAACGCTCCTCTTAACTCCGCGGAACTCTCCTTTGAATTATTAAAAAAAAAAAAATATCACCGGAATTACCATGGAATATACCTAGGAATTTCCTTGGAGGGAATTTTCCTTAAATTTCTCCTCAGAATTCAAGTGGAATTATTCTCAGAATTTTCAATGAATAAAATTCAGAGTTCCTTTGCTTGGAATTCTACTCACAACTTTGAAATCCTTGAAGTTCTCCTCACAAATCCCTCTGTATTTTTCTCAAAATGAGTTTGGCATTCAAGTCAAAACTTGGAATGCTTCTCGAAACTATTTTGAATTATTCGCAGATTTAATTGTAATTATCCTCAGCAGCATAGCTCAGCATATTCTCCGAAAACTCTCAGGAGAGTTTAAATCCGGATTATTTTTCTCCCAGAAACTTCTAAAATGATCCTCAGAATTCCCATGAATTTCTCCTTTGAATTGCCTTGCTAGGAATTATCATGAAATAATACTCAGAATTATCTTCCAAAATTTTCTCAGAATTCCTTAGATGAGTGACATTAGATATTGCTATGCATTTTCATTAAAATTTCCTTTTAATCCTATTCAGTGTTTCTTGGAAATCTACTTGGAAAGCAGCTTTGGCTTGATGTTTTCCTCAGCATTGTACCCAGAACTCCCTTTAAATAAGTTCCCTACAACTTTTCATCATGGTCTTTATTCAATTCATTCATTCAATGCCATGAGCCTTGGACATCTTTTCTATTTTGTTTTTTTTTTATCGTCGTCCAAGAAGTCAGATTTCAAACGCTCGTTTTCAAAGAATCTTTATCACATCAATTTATTACATAATCAAGATGTAATTGTATAAATTACATTGGTCAATTTTAATCAGTGACTTAAGTGTCTTTTTGATGAAAAAAGTGCTACCAGCCCTGTAATTGATGGACTTGTGAGTGGGAAATTGGTATACTTTGTAGCTAGGAAATTCCAACGAGAAGTACCTCAATGGAACATTTATAGATGTTTTATGAGCCTTCAGAGGCCTTTCTTGGTCTTCTCCAGAATTTTATACACTTCTCCAGAATTTTAGAAATTTCTTCCGTGAAGGGAGGGGGCTTGTTTGTAAACATGACCAAATATAAAAAAAATAAATCTATTTTTATTGAAGTACCAGTGCGACATCCTGGTCATGATTTTTCACTAATTTCACCAAATTTTTTGGAAGTTATTCGATTTAGAGCGGAAACTGCATGCTAAATATACATTCCTTCCGGAAAAATTCCAAAAATAACATTCCCGGAAAATCAACTCTGTGAAGAACTATCAATAAAAGAAAATAAATTTCGAATGGATAATGATGGCAACTTTTTGGAGAGGTTGAAATGAGCTTCAAGAGCAGTTAGAAAATAGAAAGCAAGAAACTTCCAGAGGAAGCTGACAGACTCCCGACATCCAAGACGGAAGAATTTTTTGGAGTAAGTCGGAAGAAACATTCAGAAAAGGTTTAGATACACTTCCAGAACAAGTCGGCAGGCATTTTCGGGGCATCTCAGCAGGACCACTGAGGGAACTTGGAAGGAGCTTTCAAGATAAATCTTTAGAATACACCAATGTCAGTCAGACCAAGAATAGAAAAATCGGAATTAACTTCCAGGAAAAGTTGCAGGACTATCCGGTGGAAGTCATATAAAACAACTTAATAAAACTGGAATAAGATTACCCGTAAAGATGGAAGAAATGTGAGGTAAACATTCCAAAAAAACTAGAATCAATTTCCTGGAGTGGCACTAAGATTCTTTTAGGGAAATATAGAAAATAAACTATCATGATAAGTTGGAAGAATCTTCCGAAAAAAGTTTAAAAAAAACTCCAGAGAGATGTCTGAAAAATCTTTCAAAGGAAATTAGAAGAAACTTCCAAAAGTACGTAACGTCATAAGTCGAAACGTTTGGGGAAAACTCAATAGGTCTTCTATGATAAATCGAAATATTATTAGGTGCGAAACTAATTTCCCGCTGTTTGTCAAAAGATGGCTCCAACAGTAAGTGATATGTCGACTGACAAATCGAAAACGTCATAAACCAAGTTTAGACATATGGTAAACAAACCGTTTTGACACATTAGTGATTTATTTTTTGCGTCATATTAACCTTTCTGACGTTTATAACACGCACACTTGCGTAATCCCATTTTCAAGTGTCAAGTTTGTTATCTTTTGCTTCAGCCAAAAATGTTGCTTTGTTATTGGTATCCTCCCTTTCAGACTATCAATACTAGCAACTAGTTACCTCTATGATACTAGCATGCAAAGGTTATGCTGTGTGTTTGGGACCAGGTCGGTGTTATTTATTATGAGCTGTTAAATGTATTTAATATTTTAGATGATTTAGTTGTACAGAGGTTCATAATTTCTTTCGGCTAAAATCATCCCATGGGGTGCATGCTATAATGAATTAAATACTAAACATTTGAATTCCAAGATCTGCACGATTAGAAAAAAAAAATCCCTGCAGTTTGATACTTCTACACAAAGTTTTCGTCGGGGATCTTGAACATAAAAACATGTCATCAATTACAATAGGAGTGAATGAAAACTGGTCCATAGCAAAAATCACTAAAAATCGATTCCCATTCTATGCACATGAAAAAGTGTAAAAAGTTGACCTACATTTTGTATAAAAAGACAATTTTACATTTACCTTGCAAGTTTGCCGTTACACATTTTACTGGAGGCGTTCGGATATTTAGTCCGACTACTTTGTCAACCAATTTCAGTGGAACTTTCTACTTGGAAACTATTTAAAAAATAGCGTAGCTAACATTGCGATTTTTTTTGAATGACCTAATTGTTGACAACTTTCCTTGATGAATGTAGATTCGAGTGAAATAGCAATTTAAACTGCTCAAATAAATTGATTAATATTTGTTGCTATTTAATTTCTGTCACAATGCACAATGTATATGGCCATGGAACTAGAGAAAATGTTCAACCCACAAGATGCTAAACTGAACATGAAACCGTTACACTTTGAAGTACAGGAAGGGGGATAACAGTTTAAAAAAATGTATGACTGATTGTCCACGCAGGGAAAGGTGGGGGAGGGTCTAATCTGCTTTAAAACTGTACACGTGGTTTGTGGATAGCTACCAAGGAGCAAAATTAACCCTTATGTGACTGGTAAGGAATACCTGCCGTTTTATTCACACACATTCATCCCAAATTGTAAAGTTGGCCACCAGTCACATAAGGGTTGAATCAAGCGTGTTACTTGGCACACACAGAAAAACGTACAAAGAACAAACAATCGAATTTTATCGGAGTCATGTAGCATCGAACTCTCTGGATGAGATCAATTCCGATTATTATGGTATCTACAAAAACGAAACAAGGGAGAAAGTTTAAAAACCCCATTCAGAGTTCGATGCAGCACGTAACCGAGGAAGAACGTGTATACCGGAATTCACACGCCAGACGCATTTTCACACAGTAAGCAGCCAAACTTCACACTTACACAAACACCTTGGTTTTGAAGAACTCGCAGCTATGGTTGTAGGTGTTGACCGTAAACGTGCTGACAGCAGTCCACGACGAACAAGCAAAGTCGCCAATTTTCTTCGGCAGCCCTGGAGCGTATTGCTCAACCTATCGAAACAATGAGAAAACAAAATGTCACCATAAAATCGTTCATAACGCATTCCAAGCCCATTCGGTACTTACGAAATCAGCAACCACTGGAGTTTTCTGTTCAACCAGCAGTTTCACGTTGCCGAAGCCCTTTTTGGCACCATTCCATAGAATTTTGCTGAAATCTATCGAAAATTCTACGTATGGTCCAACGGTCTAAAAGAAACAAAATCAATTTAATGATCCACGAAAACAAAACACAAACAACAGCCTTACCTTTTTCGCCTGCCCATAGTAGACGGGAACGTGCTCCTCGGTCCACTTGAAGCCCCGTGCACTGTACTTGAGCGTACAGGTCCACGCGTCCTGCACAGCCGGAAGCAGGCCAGCCTGCTTCAGCAGCTGTCCGGTGTGGGAGTTTTCGAATTTGCCACCCGCCCGGTATGTGTCGAAACCGATCAGGCCACCGGTCAGACCGAACAGCAGGAATGTGGCCAACAGAAAACTACAGCATACCGTCGTCGCCCCCGATCGGGATGACTTGTTGGACTTGGCGGCTTTGTTCTTCTTCGAGGAAACTTTGTCTTGCACCTGCTGCAGAAGAAAGAAAGAAAAAGACGACGTAGAAGTACGTTAGTATATATGTGCAAATAATTCCTCGGTCGGTGATGATTCAAGCTATGAGCTAATCAAAATTAAATGGAGACCCAATTATGGGAATGAATATTTGTTGCTTCTTTTTTGTGCAAGATTGGCACATATGAATGAAGTCGCGTGTTAATATTTGCACCTCCCCACCAATGAGTGCACGAGGGCATTGCTTGGTATTGGAATGAACCGTTCAACAATACTTGGTAAACGGTGATAGATAGCTCGATGTATTCGGAAACAAATTTGCTGTAGTATGTTAGGGGAAATTGTGTCATCATCAGGCTGTTAAAAAATGCTTAAGTTGCAAAGCTAGCGTTACTTCGGCCTACCTTATTTCGTCCAATCGAGTAGAAAATAACAAAAATATGTGTGATTTCATCGTAGACAAATAATACGTGTGTTCTTATACTTTAGCGTGTAAGATACGATGAAAGATTTTCGTTATCTTGTCAATCAAAGATGACAAGTAGTAATTGATTGATTCGGCCCCCGTTCTACTAACATAAGTAATAAAAAACTTGTCAATGTACATTGAATGACGGCTCCGCAAAGCTAACGCAATTGAGCTTTGAAAAAAAAATATTTAAAAAAGCAGTATAAGTGACATGTAAAGTTTAACGCTTTTTTGGAGTAGCGAAGCCTGGGAGTAAACCAGGTGCATATAAAATAAGCTGTAATCATTGTAAAAAGTATATGTAGGACAAACCAATAGAACTTTAGCAACAATATTTAAAGGTCATATACTGCCGTTATCGCATAAGAGTCTCACGGTGCATAAGGATTGCATAGAACATGGGACAGTTATGCATATAACGGCAGTAAGGTCAAAAAGCAAGAGAAAAAAGGACTAACATATGATTTCAAATCAAAGGTTGCAGAACATATCTTCACCGAGGATCCCCAATTGACGACGGAGAACATCACGATTTTGCGAACCGTATCTACACCATGGAAATTGGAGGTTGCAAAGGTTTCTTCAGTCGAGTATTAGTACAAGACACTGAACAAGGCTGCACATTGTTGAAAAAATACGCGAATCTGACAAGGATAAGCAAATAACGTAATGGAATTAAATGAAAATTACTATAGGGTGTCCTAAAAAGTATAAGCACACTTTCAACTCGCCGCCATTTCTACCCCGATGAAGTGTATCAGCTGTTGATCGATGGTTGTTGTTGTTTACTTATTGCTCAACAAGTTTGTGTGCACAAAGTGCATTTTTTTAACAAAAATAATCAAAATGCGAAGTATTTCCCCGGAAATGCACAAACAGATCGCGCGCAAATGGTGCACTATTCTCATCCTATCAGTAAGGAAGGTGGCAAAAATTGAGGAAGTAAGTATCGGAGCAGTTCGAACCGCTATCCGGAAGTTCGGTGAAGAAGTTACCTTCGAAGACACACCGAAATCTGTCTGTAAACCGGGACCGGTGGACCAGAAGATCACCTAAGCTTTCATTATAAAGAAAAGTGTGTCTGTTCTTGATTTGGCCAAAAAACTGAGAACATCGAAGAGTAACGATGAAACTTAAGTCAAATTTGACTACAAGACGCTTCCGGGAGACCAATACTAAACAGTCCGTGATGGTCACGAAGTCGACGATGCCGATAAGATAATTTTTACCGAAAATTTGGTAAGAAGGCCATGGTTTGGCAAGCGATATGTGAGTGTGGCAAGTTGTCAAAGCCATTTGTGACGTAGGAGGCGATGAACACTGATATTTACGTTCGGGAGTATTTGAATCGGCGTCTGTGGTCCATGATCCGTCAACATGATGGCACAGTACTATTTTGATCCAATTTGGTGTCAATGCACTACTCGAAAGACAATGTGCACGTGCCAAAAGAGATGAATCCTCCGAATTGTCCGAGGCTCAATCAATCGAAGCTTTTTGGGCTCTTTCCAAGGGATATCTACGGAGACATGAATTCAATCGAAGAATTTGAAAAAGACTGGACAAAAGTGGCCAACATCATCGCCAAGGAATTTGTGCTGAAGCTCATGGGCAGCGCTCCTTGGCATACGATTAAAGGAACTGCGGATTATTTTTATCCAATTGAAAGATAATACTATAGAAAACGTTGACTAGAAAACTACGTCCTTCGTTTTTTTCCACTTTCACTTCAATTCGGGCTCATTCGACTTGTCAAGCATCAAAATATAGTATTCGCACAATATCGATGCTGGTAGGTATGGCATTCGGATTATATATAGTAATAATATATTATTTTATGTTAAACGAAAATTAAATTAACGAGGCCATTCTGGAGTTCAAGATGGTGGCCATCGGGGTTAGAAAAAGTGTCAAATACCCTACATTATGGTTATTCTCGAAAAATCGGTATCAGATACCATTTTAGAATCCAAAAAGGCAGCCATCAGGGTTCAGAAGCCGTCAAATACCCTACAATATGGATATTTCGGAACGGTAACGACGCGTAGATGCTGTAAATCGATATTTGATGCCATTTGCAGGCCATTTGACACTTCTTCTGAAATCGAAAGCCACCATCTTGAATTTGAAGATGGCCTCGGACATCGATTTCTGGCTTCTAGATGTCACCCCGATTCCAAAAACCCACATTGATCGGTATTTGACAGTATTTCACAGTTTCTCTGAACCAAAGCCGCCATCTTGGATTTAAATGTGACATCAATTTTTGGCATTTATGTCTCATCCCATTCTGAAAATAACCATATTTTAGGGTATTTGACACTTTTCCGCAAATCGAAAGTCGCCGTCTTAGATTTCAAATGGCGTCGGATATCGATTTCCGGCTTCTAGACGCCATCCCGATTCCAAAAATACCTATATTGATGGGTATTTGACAATATTTCTCATTTCTTCTGAAATCGGAAGCCGCCATCTTGGATTCCTAAATTGCGTCAAATATCAATTTTCGATCTGTAGACTTCATACTGATTACTGTATTTCCCCTTTTTATTGAGTCGGAAGCCGCTATCTTCGATTTCAAAATAGCGTCGGATATCGGTTTTCATCCTCTAGACATCATCGTGATTCCAAAAATACCTTTATTGATAGGTATTTGACAGTATTTCCCACTTTTTATTAAACTGGAAGGCGCCATCTTGGATTTCAAAATGGTGTCGCATTCAATTTTCGATCTCTATGCGTCACCCGGTTAAAAAATACCCATATTGATGGGTAAACAAACCACCCGACAATGATAAATTTGACATCCACGTGCACAGATCTATGCGCATACGCTTAAATGAACCAAGTGAACAATCAACAAAAGTCATAAAAACTGCGCGAATTTGGATCGAAAAGCTTCGCTTCAATGCAAAAGTAAGTTCATTTGACAATGAAAGAAGAAATGAACACAAGTCAAGCCAAAACAAACAGCATGAAAACTGATCGAAAGGGATGGTTTACAGCTTCATCGTCACTTGATGATTTCCGATTGAAATAGACTTTGTGGGGCCCTGGCTGCCAGCCGTTATGGAAGTTTCGGTTGCGTTCGTGTGTGAAGCAAAAACCATGAAACTCAATCTCACCACAGTTTGTTGAGATTTGCAGCTGGTGAATTTTGTTAGCTTGATATTATGAGCTGCAATATCACAGCTTGCAAAATCAACCGCAGTTGTTTGCTTGTTGATTTTTGTCTACGAAAATCAAGCGTGATCTTGGGCATTGGCGAGATTTGATTTTTTGATATTTTCCCAACACTAAAAATTACATCTTCAAAATTCACCAAAGTAGGGAGCATCTATTAAGTACGTCACGCTATAAGGAAAAAGGAGGTTTAGAAATGTGTGCATGCAATGCATTAGGTATAGCAAAAACGTACCGCAAGGATAGAGGGGGGATGATTTTTCTTAAATTTCGCATAACGTACTCATTGTATGCTCCCTAAGGAGTAAAGAATAGTATAGATTAAAGAGGGTCTAGTATAAGAGAGGAACTAGTCCAGATGTGCCAAACGAACTGTTGCATTGGCAGTGTTGCAAGAAAGCACCTAAGCATAGGTTGCCAAGGCAGTTTGATTTGAATCCGCTCCTCTCTTATACTAGACCCTCTCTAGTATAGATCGCTCTAATGGTGAGAATGTTGTACAAAAAGTTTTTCATAAGCGGTTTTACGAAGAAAAAACCCTTTTCGGGCAATTTGAGCACTATCATTCAATTACAAATCAATTCTCAACAATCAATGTATAAAACGAAGATTTTTCCAAGCATCCACGTTTGCATGATCTCACAGCCAATAAACTACAGTACATACATTGATTGAACAAGGTTACTGACACACATTAACAACCACCCATGTTCATCATTCCCGTCCCCATGAAGGAGCTCCAACACCAAGGAGCAGAGATAAAATGAGATCAGCACAATATTTACCTTTTTGTCTTTGTTTGTGTTCTGTGCCTTCTTGTTCTGGTTCTTCTTTTCTCCTGCCTTTGGTGCCATTATCTCTCCGAAGTATCCCTAGCTGTTCCTGAACACTAATCACACTAGTTACTGTATGTACACTGAGCCTAAGTCTACGGTGGTACCAGCGAGATCCACTTCAAGATGAAGGTTTAGGTGTAAATGGATGTGCGCGAGCCAAGCTTATGCTGTTTATCCCGCCCAAATTGGTTTGATGGTGGTGCGTCCCGTTGCAATCTATCGAAAAAAAAAGCTTGGAGATAAGACCTGACCGCCACGCAGATGAACCGAATTGGTCTTTGCAAGTGTCGAGATTGAACAACTAATGCTGCTGCACTCACTGACTGACTCTTGTGTGCTCTAATCGTTCGCTGTAGAAACACTTGATCTTCTTTGCAACTTATTCACGTCAGTAGGCAATCAATGCTGCTGGTGGTTTCAAAAGTCGTTACGAGTTTTGCAGAGCAGTTGCCGAGTGAGTGCAGCTCTGCGTCGGTCGTCGATGATGTTCGACTGGTTTACAAACACACGCCGTCAGTCAATTTCGATAC